CCTTCAGTTCGCGAAATAACAATTTAGTCGTTTAAAGATTAAACACACATATATACATTATTTAAATGTTTTTTTTTTTTTTTTTTCAAAAAATTGCTCGCAAATTAAATCTACATTGTTTTCGTATCGATACACATATATTTGTGATGTGTGCAAATATATAATTACTATATGATAGATTACATAAATAATTACTATATTAATTATTCCGTACTTGTATACACTTTGTTTGTTGTGTGCACGCGCATTTTTGTAATCACATGCAACAATTTCTCTCGTGCGGAATATCCATATTGATGGTAATTAGCAATTATTTCGCGCATCACAGCTTGTAAGATTAAAATATCTCTGAAATATTTATAAAGTACTTAATATCACCGTGTATACACGTTGATATTTATAAAGTCTGTGGCAAAAAATCTGGGATATTTTTTAAGTGCGTTATATATTTTTTCACCAAAGAGCTATAAGAGGGAGTCGCCATCACTTTTTATTATTTTTACAAAACACATCGTCTCTCTCTCTCTCTCTCTCTTTTTAATATGGTAATTTCCTATGTGCGATGCTTCTCTCTTTAGCCGTTAGAAAACACAGATGTTCGCCCGCGAGACTTACAACCAAGTCGCAAAGGTGACACATACACACACACACACACACAGACACGCACACGTACACGGCACGTGGTATATATCAGATCTATGTATTCAAATCGCTCTTTTGCGTCAAGCGCGATAACAGATGTTGCCGTGTTCCCTATTGGTCATAACCGATTCTATTTTTAAATTGACGTTCCTTTCGGACGCACAACTGCGCGCGACTGAATAAAAGATCTCTATCGATCGAAGCGCGGCGCCTTCGGAATAGCGTAGCGAGATAATTACTCTCTAATGAGGCCCGTCCAACATGGAGGCGAACACAACCGAGGAAGAGTGCGGCATTTTTTCGAACTAAGTTCGCGGCTTGATTTAATTATCAACTGTTGATTAATGAAGCGTGCAACTTCCGCCAAGTTTTACTCTGCGCGGAAACGAGTATAAGAAGATCGATCGCGCTGAACGCGCTACATCTCGCCTTGACTCATCTATCGAGCGACGGCGGCGGTCTCGTCAAACGAGTTTTAACACACTCGTACTGCAAGACCGCGGATCGTTTATAGCAAAAGCGAAGCTAATGGCGCGACACAGTTACCGCGCTCAAGAATAATTGAATAAGCGATTACAAAGAAATGAATAAAACTTCATTCTATTATTTTCTCTGTTCGATATTATCAACCGCGCACGCGCGCGACGTGTACATTAAAATTGGAACGAGCGTCTTCTGCGTTCAAATTCAACGAGGAAAGCAAGCGTTTTATTTCATTAAAACAAAAATAAAAACAAAATCCATTTTCCGCGACAGTCGCTCTCGCAATTCTGACGCTCGCGCGTCTTCGTGATCCAAATACTTCGCTAACTTTCGGCAACGTTCATAGCTGAAATTACATCGCAGTTTTAATAGGATCGAATTACGTCGAGCGCAACGCCCTGAGCGAGCAAACTCACTGCGATGTCTGAAGCGACTCCGGAGGTGAGCTCGCAAGTAGTCATGCCATCGTTCGCTCCTCCGCGCCACAGCACTAGTAGAAGTAGTAGTAGTAGTCGGTAACACACTAGTGTGGTCGCTTCGCGATGACGATGGCCGCGAGATAGACTAAGGCATGTTTGCCGAGCAATCAAATATATGAGTGGAAAAGTCTCGCGGGCGCTATCGATCGAAACCTTCTTCGTGATGGTGGGCATGCGAGGGGGCGGCCGAATAGGAGAAAGAAGAATTCAGGACGTAACGGACGGGCAGAGCTGAGGGGGAGGGGGCGGCAGAGGGGAAGTCCACAAAACTCCACTCGTCCGCCATGGACGAAGGGGCCGACGAACGGGGCTGTCCACTGTTTGTTGTTGGACGCTATTCGGATGGGGAAGACAGAAGGAGGGCGACAAACATAGTTTTCGTGCCGACGGAAAGGAGTTCTCGACGTGGCTATAGTCGCGCACACAGTGTGTGTACACTTTGAGTGTTGCTAAGTGTCTAAATATATCTTGCACAATTTTTGCACAAGTTTCTTCACTCATTTAAACGCAACACTTTTTTTACACATCTTTCCCGCGGTGGATTGAATTTTTTAGACACATATTTCTCGTCGAGAACAAAAAATGTGTGTGTGTGTGTTTTTTTTTTACATGGAATATTATAATTTTCTCGACGTAGAAGTTGTATGTATGTAGAAGTATTGACCCACATACGTTTTACTATATATATGCGCGATGGATGAAACACGAAGTCTCGTGAAATTCGAGTTCTTTATTTCCGCGCGAGTTTGCGTTTCGTCGTCGATGCGAAAAACGTCGAAGAAAAATCTCAAGTGCGCATCGTTTTCGAGAGACTCGCGGAAAGGGAAGGCGGAGAGAGAAAACGCTTTAGAAGCTACGGCAAATTCTTACGTCTGCCGTGCGCGATTCCCAGGATCCTGCAGAATCCGACAAGGGAGTCTCGCCTGTGCACGTTTCTGCTCGATATCGGTCCTTCAGAAATTTCGGCCATTTCCCCGCCGCGAATTTCCTCGCGATTTTCTCATCGTGAGAAAATCGCGCGATTAATAATATAGACGCAAAAAAAAAAAAAAAAAAATAATAAGAAAAATAAAACGTAATATCCGGCTTGTTGAAACAGCAATAGACTCGTTTCTTTAATAGATTCGAAATAAAGTTGCTTACGCACATCTAAAAATAATTCCGCGAATTATTTATATGTATGTATTACATATATTGTATATATGTATATGTATATAGGTGTGCGCGCGCGCGCGTTAGGCAGAAATTCCGAATGTAGTTAAATGTTCGAGTTTTCGAGATTCAAAGGTCTGATTAATGTAGCGGCATGAGGTTGACATGGCGACATTATCATCGGTACAATGGACGCCAGGTGTTTTAGACAGCGGCGGTGGGCTAGAGAGGCAAGGAATATAATGCCGTCAAGCAACGCCACTTAATGAGCTGCCTGGAACAAAGAGGGAAGAACCGCTTTGTCATTTTTTTTTTCTCCCCCGTGCTCCAATTACTTAGCGTTTTAGAACAGTTGTACGTGATTATCTTCTCTTTCCCCTTCATCGAACGCGTACCCCTTCGTGCAATATGCACGGCATTTCTTTTTTATTTCCCGAAGACATTTTTGATGCGTTATAATAACGCACAAGCGTCATAAAAAATTGATAGGTTTTTCTTTCTCCATCAACGAGCGTGATACATCTCTCTGTCGAGCGCGATATTCCCTCGTCCAACACATCGCAGTACTGTGTGAAGCTTGATATATCGATCGGAAGCCTAAAACTGTCCAGCTGTTCCGGTTTTCTTGTGTGTGTCATGCCTGTCAAACAAGCAAGAGACGGAAGTTCGAAACTGGATGTCGAAGACGACGAGGGCTGCTGAGATCAGAGGAAAGTCCAGGGCTTAGTGATGAAGGGGATGGGGTTGGGCGCGTTATCATGTCATTCCCCGTCAGGTGCGGGAGAGAGAGAAGAACGGTGGGCGCCCTCTTTCGTCCTAATTCCCTTCAATCCTGATTCGTTCTATCTCCCAGAAGTATATCGCACAATCGAGTTTCGTTTATTTTTCAAGAGGCGCCCGGTTCGAACAGAAATTGGCGAGTATATACGTCGTTCATATATATATATATATCGAATATATATATACATATATATCGAATGATATTTGATCCTCGAAAAGCTTAATTTCATTTCTAAAAGCGCCGCCGCGTTACGCAATTCTCGCGCAGTTAGAACTCTCTAAAAACTCTCCTGTGTTTCCCCAATCGGAGCTCTAACGTGATTACGTAAAATTCGTTTACAGCTTTCATTCGATTGATATTTCGCTGCGGGGGTGAAAAACTCGCGCCCGATCGAACTTAATTTCTGACCAAAGAGCGCCATTTTCCGAGAAAGGAGGAGAGGAAAAAAAGAAATGCATATTGTCGGCACATCGGCGCATATAAAATATCGCGTTCGGACGTCGACCTGTGAAGACGCGACCCCAAAGAGAGATCCCCCACAAAGTCCCCCCAAGTTTTCCTTCCCGTCGGTGTAACATCGAGAAGTTTATCGACGAACAAGTCCGTTTCAATAGATCGGATGCGCGACGAAACCGTTGGATCGTTTATATAGAACGCAAAAGATGGCAGCGATCGTCGCTGGATATCGTTTTCCCCTCGCGGCGATACAAATAGTTATTGCACGAAACCGCGACCGCAGCGTCGTCCCGGATTACGAAGCGCTTGTCCGCGCGCGGTAAACATCTTTTATTAAAGTGCACGTTGCGCTCCGCTGGCGCGTCAATTTTTCAAAGAGCCCTCGAGCTCTTTGTCTTCGCCGCGTCTCCATCTAACTACCGGCGATGAGCGCACGTGGCAGGGCGAGTATACGAGAGAGCGATTAATCGCTCCATCATCGTCGCCGAGACGGCCAAGCTCTGCGACAATGGCGGAAACGGAGAGAACTCTCTCTATCTTCTCGTCTCTCTCTCTCTCTCTCTCTCTCTCTCTCTCTTCACGAGAGAAGATAAAACGGATAAAACTATTTTTGCTTCCTTCCGGGCGCCGCGCGACGAGTACGCCGCGAAATTTTTCGTCGAATGGCGAAGGGAAGGAGTGCCTTGTCCGTCGCTTCTCCTCGCGACGCTCCTTCCGGCTGAGTGAATAGCGAACGTCACGAGGTCCATTTAACCCTTCATTTCCCGATGGCTTCTGTTTCTGCGAAAATCGCGTGTTGCAGACAAGCGCGGAGTGCGAGAGATTTATTCGGAAACGAAATCTCGCGAGCAAAAGATTTCAGGAGTTTTATACAGAATCATACTTTTCATACTCGAACACTAAAATAAAATAGGATTTTATCTTCCAACGTGTAAATTGTGATAAAACAAAATTGAGTTTTTTAGTTTTCAGTAAAATAATGATGACTGTCTGTCTTTTTGTTTCAGGTTGCGCGTTCGTAAAACTCTCGTCGCATCAAGAAGCAGTAGCGGCGATAAACTCTCTACACGGTAGCCAAACTATGCCGGTGAGTACTCAGTGTGTAATGTTACAGTAACAAGCGTCGGTCGACCTCCTATCTTCTTCTCTTTCTCTCTCTCTCTCTCTCTCTTCGATCGGAGAGCTCGTTATTTTTTTTTTTTTTTTTTTTTTTTTTTTTATCTTCCGATCCGCCTCCTCTGCCGATGACCGCCAGTCATCGCGTTCACGGACGTCGGCGAGTATTTACGCTTAGAAAATGTCACGTACGTACGCGATATTAACGGAAAGGAGGGTAAATATTCATAGAAGCGATACACACCTGACAAGCGAGGGAGAGAGGGAGGAAGAAGCCGGAGAGCTGATATGAATATCGAGGATAGGGATGTGCACCATGGCCGGGCAGTAGATGGCCGTCTTCCGTTAAAGGGGGTGGTCGGCTGGTTGCTGGTGGTGGTGACGGCGGCGGTGGTGGTGATGATGGTGGTGGTTGCGGAGATCGGACCGAGGTAGCCGTAGCAATGGCTGTCGTGCCTGCAAACACCCCAGTAATGACTGGCCAAACAGAAATCTGCATAACACTTGGAGAAGCGCGGCTCGCCTCCCTCGCAGCCTCCCTCCTCCGCGCAGTTTCCCTCTCGGCGCGAGAACGTCCCTCGGTCTCCGTCAAACCGCCGAACTTTCTCGGCTTAGGGTCGGACGAGGAATTCCCAGTTGTAATTGAATTGTCAGTGAGTTCCGTCCGGGATTCCACCTGCTGATTGGCGAAACTTTGCAAAGCCGCTTGCCGGACCTCCCCCGATCGTCCTTGTCGGCGTTATTGCCTATCGACCGCCCGCTCACGCTGACATGCATTGACGCGCCTAAGGGACTTTGTGTCTCGGACCATTATTAGACCCTACAATGTACAATTAAGATCGGGGCGAAGATTATGCTGAATTATTGCTTTTATACTGTTTGCGACTTTAGAAAACTCTCTCCCAAATCAGCCATTTTCGCGAGTTATCGTGAGGATGCACGTTAAAGGAAGAAATTATCAAGAGTTATGAACGTAAGCTGCGGTACGAAGATTAAATTAAAGAATTTTCGCCAAAAAATAGAACAAAAGACAAGAAGAAAGCAAAATAACAAGTGTGAAATATATTATCAGGTGCGTTGCATTGTATTATCGCGTGACGCGCAAACTTCTCTTTTTTTTCTTCTCTCTTCCTTCTTGATAATTTATACATCTAGACGTGTCCATTTTTCTGCGAGCGCTTCTCACAAGCTTGACACAAATACGAAACATGAGATCGCATCGTCTCATGACTTTTCCTACGTTATTAGAGACTGTACGGGAAAATAACAGGATCCATCATATTTCACGTTCGTTCTGCCGAGCCGTTAAATAAGGAGAAGAAAACGACGTTTTCCTCCAAAATTTTGACACACATCTGACGACGATGATTGGGCGGATGACGTCGCGCGTTTAAATTCGCGTGCACGTTCGCCTGAAATCGCGGATGGGAGGGGGGACTGCGCGAGAAGAGGCGCAGTCTGGTTACGTGAATATTACTCGTTACAACGCCCTAATCTAATTGCCGAACACGGACGGAAGACGCAGTAGGGACTACGACTTCAGGACTATTTGCCCACGAAAGAGGTACTGACAGCGCGCGCGGGTCGTAATATGCAGATTGCTTAATTATCGCAACGAATTATGCAAATCTCGACGCCGATGTTACGAGATTTCACGGCACCGTCGAGGCTAAGGGCGGAAGAGGGAGACGACGGTCGCGGGATACGACGAGGGGGAACGGGGAGGCCGAGAGCGACGACGAGGTTAACGCTTTCGCCGAAATATGCCGACCTTCGACCCTGAAACTATTCGACCTAGAAGAGATACGAGAAAGACACGTGGTTACGAGCGACTTAATTATTTCGTTGAATTATGCAGATCTCGGCGTTATGAAATTTTGCGTGGAAAGACGCGCGCGGCAGGCAGGGGAAAGAAGAGCCGTTGTCGCGCACAATCTAACGCCTGCGAATCGCGTGTGCGCGAACGTTTTAATACGGAATTTAAAGCAGCTTTGTCTGTTTATGTCAAATTTGCGAGAAATCGTAACCTTTTTCATTTTTTTTTTCCGTCAATTACGTAGACGGAAATAAAAAAGCGTTTCCCTTTCGATCGCTATCGGTAAATTTTTTTTCGCGGGAAACAATTGCGCGCTGTCGCGAAGTATACAACGTTATAAAGTCCCGGGGAGTAATTCGGGTTGACTACGTTCGCTCCAGTTTCGTCTCTGACCCAAACGCAAGAGATCAACCCCCTTCTCTTCCAATTTTCTCCTCGTATCTGTCCGCTCGCATGCTCGGAGAGAAACGTTCGATCTATATAGGCGCGCGCGTATAAAAATGTCGAATGCACACGTACATTCGCACACGTGTGTTATCGCCCGCGCGCGTGTGTGCCCTCTGCTTTCAGCCACTCGAACACGTCGACACTCTCGGTCACGAAACTGCATTACGAACGCAACATCTCGGCTCATACCTACGAAATGAGATATTGATTTGCAATCTGATACTGTAATACGCGACGACGCGCTGTCGGCCTGTAGACGACGTACTGACTCCGTAGCGGAAGCGTGAAATCGTAACACCTTATGAAATCCACATGATGCAGATACACGTCGTTGACAATCTTTTATCAAACCGACAAAATACGCAAAAGCCGCGCGGTCGCTTCTTTTTCAATTATTCATCGCATAAATCGCTTACGTTTTCTTAGTTTTACATAAATATAGATAGAAGTTTTTAAACATATAGCGATCTAGGTTTTTTAAATATAGATAGAATTTTTGATACACATGTAAATTCTTTGCGAATAAGTTTTTTTTTGTAAATATTTTGCAAACTCGCGGGTTTATTGCGCGTCTCCCCGTAACATTGTAAAAATCATACATTTTGATACATATCTCTCGCGAGAGCATTAGTCACGTCAACAAGCTTAATCTGTTTATTAATTTTCGCGTCGATCAAATACGATTATCTTACGATCGTTGTGTGTAGTGTAAATATGCAAGTTTAAACCGCAATGACAGATTATTTTTCCTCACTGAAAACGCGATGTTTTTAGCAGATACCACGTGTAACCGCGAGATTAATATTACGGCATTTTTTTGTCGACACGGTGCAAAACAAAAAAAAAAAAAAAAAAACATTATCGTAAAAACGTCTCTTCTGTAAGCATTTTATTTCGTTTTCACGAGCGAGAGAGGGGAGAAGGTAATGCGATTTGTGCTTTTCGGATCGGCGCATTTTGCGCGTCACGTGGCCGGCAATATTTCTTCGGGCGCTCAATATTTTAACCGACTTTATAATCCGCGTCGTTCACGGATATTACACGCGGAAAGTTTTTAATTTCTAACAATACGGAGACGTTTTGTATTCGCACCTACCACCGCCGGGAAAGGAGGGGGAGATGGCGCGCGCAAACATTTTTTCCCGATTTCACGGCCCGTATAATGCGGTTTACTGTTCTCGCAGAGCGACGTTGTTTTGCCCCGCGCCTCTCTCCCACGGCGAGCAATATTTCTCCAGCAGCTCAATGTATTCCCGGATTCCGCCATTCCCTCCTCGTGGCTTTAAACTCAAATTTTTTTTTTTTGTTTTTTCAAATAAACGCTTTAGCGAAAAAGTAACTTTGTCACCCCCGGGGAGCACATAAACCTATTTGCGGTGTCAGCTGTAAGTTTACCGTGCGCGCAGTTAATGCTTTCTAAAATATTACGGAAAGTTTCATCCACTCGACGGTTTTACAAACTGACTTTGTCATGCAAAACGTTGACGCGAATTTATTATCTCGTGTAAAGAATTGAAGTTATTTACGTGTCACGCGTTATCTCGAGAAAAAAGAAAAAGAGAGAAAGAAAGAGAGAGAGAGAGAGAGAGAGAGAGAGAGAGAGAAAGAGAGAACGCATCAACTGCGAAGGTCTGTTACATCTCCCCAAACTCTGCGCCCGTTTGATCGCATCGATCCACATAGACTGTGTTTACACATTTCGAATCAGAAGCGCGTTCGTGCATCACGCGAGGAGCAATATTTCTTCGGGAAGGGGGCTCAATATTTCCGCGCGCATCGCGGAGTTCCGTCGTTTCTTTTCCTCGAGTTTTTTTTTCTCTCTCTCACCCCGTTCCTTCACCTTCGGTGTTGTGTGTCTCGTATGTGTCAACGTGCCGCCCGCATGCGACCACCACGCCGGGCCTCACGTAGTTATGCCTTCCGAAGCGTGTGACATTTCTTGTCACGCCTCGCAAACCCTCTGACGCGCGACCGCGCGCTTCTCGCGCACCCCTCCGAAATCTCCCCCTCGCGTACATATTTCTCATGGAAATGTCTCGTAATAAAAGCAAAAACCGCGTGAAGTGTTTCGTCGCCGCGAAACGACGTCCCGTTGGTCCCATTTGCGTATACCTTCGGCCGATTGTCTTCGTCTGGAAAATGTGCGCGACGACGTTTTATTCTCTTATGAAAGTTTAAAGCAATACTCTTAACAATAAGCGTGACGCACGTAGGCGATGAAAAAAGTAAAAAAAAAAAGTAAGACCAAAATAAAATAATCGCACACAACAATAATTTAACGTTAATGAATTAAATGGGATTGTGTTGTAATTAATTTTCTTCTTTGTTTGGCGCAGATGTTTAATTCCAATCTTCCATAAAATTTCGCAAAATTGATCCGTGCGGCACTTCAACGTGTTAAATTGGAACGGGGGCCACGATTTATCATAACGGAATTTCGAAGTGATAAGATAAGACGGTCGATCGAAGTTATTCCGAACTTGAGGCGAGCACAATCAACCGAGATATCCACGAGCGAGTCTTCGATCGAAGAACGAGGAGGAAAGTTTCCAACGCGATGGAATTCGACACTTGTCAAGAGTAAGCGGGCTTCGAAAGTGGACAGTGACGCGAGCGATTAGACAGGCGAACTTTAAAACTTCGTTAAGCCGAGCCGCCTGCGTATCTCGGGACGTAATGCCGCGGATGGGGGGAGAAGGGGGGAGGAG